GAGCCCGCAGGTTCGAGACCCGCCTGGGCAACTTGGTGAGACCTCATCTCCACAATAAATCAAAAATTAGCCGGGCATGGTAGCGCGCGCCTGTCCTTGCAGCTACTTGGAAGGCTGAGGCGGAAGGATCGCCGGAGCCCAGCAGGTCGAGGCTGCGGTGGCTGGGAGTGGCCACTGCACTCCAGTCTGGTGACAGAGTGAGACTCCAACTCCAAATAAATAATTAAAATAAAATATATCTTGAATACAATGTAGTTACCAAGAAGTTATTGCTGGATTTGGATGAAAATGGCTTTAAGACATTTTCCCACAGCAGCAGCAGTGGCATCACCTATACGTGAGTTAGAAGTGAGAAATGCACTGGGCGCAGTGGCTCAAGCCTGTTATTCCAGCACTTTGGGAGGCCGAGGCAATAGGACTGCCTGAGCTCAGGGGTTTGAGACCACCCTGGGCAACTTGATGACACCTTGACTCTACAATAAATCAAAAAACTAGCCGGGGGTGGTGGCATGCTTCTGTAGTTCCAGCTACTTGGAAGGCTGAGGCAGAAGGATCGCCTGAGTCCAGCAGGTGGAGGCTAGTGGGCGTGAGCGTGACACTGCACTTCAGCCTGGGTGACAGTGAGATTCCAACGCAAAAAAAAAAAAAAAGAATGCAAATTCAGGGACTCTGTCTTCAACCTTCTGAAAGCAGAGTTTCTCTGGATTGGATCCAGAAACTTGTAATAAACTCTATGTGGGAGGCAGGACTAGCTAATGTCTGAGCTGGTGCTAAGGTTTGAGAGGCACTGAGCTAAAGCAAACCTTTTATTTTACTCCCTGGGATGGCTTTTGTTTTTTTTCTCTCCTCTCTTTGAAACACTTTAACTCTGGCGTAAGAATGCCCAACTAGTTTTAAAGTTACCTTATGTGTCCTCGGACAAGAGGTAGAGATTTAGATCTTTCCATCTTTTTTCCAGATCATTCTAGTTTGCTTCTGGTAATTAACTTTGTTGTCAGGTTAAAAATAATTGTTTTTTGTATGTCATCCTTGTGCAAGGGCCATGCTAATCTCTGCATTGTTCCAATTTTGGTATATGTGCTGTCGAAGCAACACTGTATTCATGATTTAACAGACAAACACGCAGGGTTCAGGGTTCTCGGACAGTTGGGGGACAATTTAGCTTTTTTTTTTTTTGAGTTGGAGTCTCTGTCACCCAGACTGGAGTGCAGTGGCACACTCACAGCCACCACAGCCTCAACATGCTGGACTCAGGTGATCCTTCCGCCTCAGCCTCTGGAGTAGCTGGGACTACAGGCATATGTTACCACACTAGGCTCATTTTTTAGGTTTATTGTAGATATGAGGTCTCATCAAGTTGCCTAGGCTGGTCTCGAACCCCTGGGCTCAGGCAATCCTCTCGCCTCTGCCTCCCAAAGCGTGCCCGGCTCAATTTAGCCTTTTGAAGGTGCCTCTTCTATGGCTCCCCTCTGTTTATGTAGATCCACAAAAATGTTCAATGTTCAGTGTGATAACCTGAAATTAAGGTAGTTTATAGGATAAGGGCTCCAAGTTCTGGGGTCTAAAGACTTTCTAGCCGCCACTTTTTTTTTCTGAGTTGAAGTCTCACTCTGTCACCCAGCTGGAGTCCAGTGGCATGCTCATGGCCACCACACCCTCGACCTGCTGGGCTCAATTGATCCATCCACCTCAGCCTTCCAAGTAACTGGAACCACAGGTGTGCACCACCATGCATGTCTAATTTTTTAATTTATTGTAGAGTCGAGGTCTTGCCAAGTTGCCTAGGCTGGTCTCGAACTCCTGGACTCAGGCAATCCTCTTGCCTCCGCCTCCCAAAGTACTGGGATTACAGGTGTGAGCCACTGTGCCCGGGTGCCACCACTTATTTATTTATTTATTTATTGAGTTGCAGTCTCACTGTTGCCCAGGCTGGAGTGTGGTGGCACACTCGCGGCCACCGCAGCCTCGACCTGCTGCCCTCAGGTGATCCTCCTGCTTCAGCCTTTCAAGTAGCTGGAAACCACAGGCGTGTGCCACCATGCCCAGCCAATTTTTTGATTTACTGTAGAGATGACGTCTCGCCAAGCTGCCCAGGCTGTTCTCGAACTTCTGGACTCAGGCAATCCTCTCACCTTGGCCTCCCAAAGTGCTGGGATTACAAACTTGAGCCACCATGCCAGGCCTACCACTCAAGTTGTTTGGCCCCACTGGACCTAAGTTTACTTACCCATAAAATAGTGGGGATAACAGTATTTCACAGGGTTGTCCCGTGTAAAATGTTCCATACAGTATCTGGCACAACCTCATTAAACATTGGCTATCATTCTTCTTTTGCTTTTACATACACTTTCCTTTGGAAAAAGGTGTCTCCCTTTTCAGGCTACTTTTCTTCCATTTCCCCATGAGAAGAATAAAAGGATTTTTGTAAGTCCGTTTCTCTGAGATGTGACTATAATTTTGCTTTTAGATTAGAAAATGTAGCTTATTTAGAAAGTAAATTAGAAAGAAAGAAATTGGAGATTCACCTCGCCAAGGTAGGGGAGGGGACCAAAGTTTAAGAAAACATGACCTGGTCATAGCTTAAAGAGCACATGGACGCATCATAGCTTAGCAAGAAAATGGCACGTGACTACAATTTTTAAAAGATGAAGCAGTGAAGGGTGGTTGAGATCACGGTGGTTGAGATCACGGAAGGGCAGAAAAGATTGGTAACAAAAAACGCTGGTGGTCCTGAATGCAAGACAAGCCCTGGCCTGAGGGACGCTGCGAGGGGGGACGTAGGTGTGGCCTGGATGGCAGCAGGAACGGATCTGACTGCCCGGGCTGAGAAAGATGAACATCCCCAAAACGGAGCTGGGCCTGAGACAAGTGGTGAGGCCGTGGCTAGGTGGGCGAGTGGGGCAGGAGGAAAGGCGCGGCTGAGAACCGCGGCAAAAAACCACGGGGCCAGACTGGAGGGCCTTGGGGTGGGCGGGAGCCGGAGGGCGCGGAGGCGGGGCGAGGGAGGGAGGGGCGGGGCGAGGGGAGGGGCGACCAGGGGGCGTGGCCGCGGGCCTGCAGGGGCGCCGCCGG